TGTGCCACCCTGGCAGGTCACAGCATGCAAAATGTACACACAATTGTACATGCCCATTCACAGAAAATAATAATGACCCACAAGTCCAAGTCACCAAGCCTTAAAAGTGGAAATTATAAAGAAAAAAGAAACGAAAGCCTTAGAAATTATTGACAAACATACCTTTACTATTTTCCAGAGGACACAGAAAACATATTTAAAATAGCTCATCTCGGGGAAGGGAGGTGGGATTAACGGTAGTCAATATCTGTCTGGGGCCGGGCTCGGTGGCTCAGCCTGTCATCCCGCGCCTTTGAGAGGCTGAGGTGAGTGGATTGACTGAGCCCGCGGGTTCGAGACCCGCCTGGGCAGTGAGACCTCATCTCTACAATAAATCAAAAAATCAGCCGGGCGTGGTAGCGCCTGCCTGTAATTCCAGCTTCTTGGAAGGCTGAGGTGGAAGGATCGCCGGAGCCCAGCAGGCGAGGCTGCGGGGGCGGGGAGCAGCCACTGCACTCCAGTCTGGGCGACAGAGTGAGACTCCAACTCAAAAAAATATATATATATATATCTGTCTGGGGACGGGGAGACACTCCTTATCAACAAGGATGCCTGAACGAAGCATATTTGTATACCTAACCCTTAATTGTACCCCACAATATCAAAATAAAAAATATCTATTATAAAAATAATAATAAATGAAATAGCTCTTCTCTAAACAAGGTCCTGCTTTTTAAAGTAACCTCACCTGTCGAAAACAGAAAACCAAGATATTAAAACAGTAGAAAATGGTGCAATGGCTACTTGTGATGCAATGGCAAGAAGTGTGCAAAATGTTAAGGAAGTTAAACTAATTTTCTTGATCCTATGCAGCAGTGGCTTTTGCAGTGCTCTTAGTAGGAAACAAGAAATTCAAGGACCTGAGTCATTGGGCTCCATTTCTTTTTCAGTCTCCTTGGGGCTCTCGGATCCCTTCCCTAACACGTCTCTGCATCCAGCACCCCCAACTAACCTTCATTCAAAAGCCCAGCTAATAAAATAAAAATAAAACCTAATTTAATTTTTTAAAAAAGCCCAGCTGGAGCTCCCTTGAGCCCCACACCTTCGGAGCCTGGGTCTTAGTGGTGCAGCAAAAATTGTGACTTTCAACCCAGCTACACGGGCTGCTGGGCTGTTCTTAGGGCGCCCTCTGCTGGCCACAGATGGAAGCAGGAGAGAGAGTCAAAACACGAGCTTGCCATCTTCTTCAAGAATTCCGAGAATGAAAATTAGAAGTTTAAAAAAAAATTGGAAGAAAGAAAAAGTTAGTTTTTGTTTCGTTGTGCTTAGCATTTTTGGCCTGTGGGCTTCAGAAAGTATGTTGATGATGCAACAGGAGGTAGGTAGTTACCACAAGACTTTGGGAGGCTCAAGGTCACACTCCCAAGCCTCTTCAAAGAGTATTGAGGCTGGGCACGGGAGCACATGCCTGTAATCCCAGCACTTTGGGAGGCTGAGGCGGGAGGACTGCTTGAGCCCAGGAGTTTGACACCGGCTTAGGCAACATAGCAAGATCTCATCTCTACACAAAAATCAAAAAATTAGCCAGGAGTGGTGGCATGTGCCTATAGCCTCAGCTACTTGGGAGGCTGAGGTGGAAGGATCCCCTGAGCTGAGGAAGTCGAGGCTCGGTGAGTTGTGATCACACCACTGCACTCCAGCCCGGATGACAGAGTGAGGAGGTCTCAACTCATAAATATATAAATAAAATTTAAAAATAATAATAAAAGTGTATTGAAACAGTAAAGAACTCCTACAACTCAACAACAACAAAAAAACTTGATTGTGAAATGGGTGAAAGACTTGAATAAGTGTTTCTCTAAAGGAGATAAACAAATAACCAAGAAGTACATTAAAAAATACTCCGCATCATTAATTGACTTATTAGAAAACTGTAAATCAGTCAGGCTCGGTGGCTCAGCCTGCAATCCCATGCTTTGGGAGGCTGAGGTGAGTGGACTGCCTGAGCCCGCGGGTTCGAGACCTGCCTGGGCAACTTGGCGAGACCTCATCTCTACAATAAATCAAAAATTAGCCGGGCGTGGTGGCGCGCACCTGTAGTTCCAGCTACTTGGAAGGCTGGGGCAGAAGGGTCATCCGAGCCCAGCAGGTCGAGGCTGCAGTGCCCGGGAGCGGCCACTGCATTCCAGTCTGGGCGACAGAGTGAGACTCCAACTCAAAAAAAAAAGAAAAATGTAAATCAAAGCCAAAACACAGTCAGGCTCAATGGCACACCCCTATAGTCACAGCTGAGGCCAAGCTAGGAAGCATAGCAAAACCCCATCTCTTAAAACAAAATTAAAATTAATTATTTTTTGAAACATTCATTATGACTTCTCCGAAAAAAGAAATAAAGAAATGGAAGAGAGGGAAGGAGGGAGGAAGGAAGAAAAAAAGAGAGAGAAAGGAAGGAAGAAAATAAGCTATTGAGGGTGTGGAGAAACTGGAACCCTTGTTGGTAAGAACGTAAAATGGAGCAGCCGCTATAAAAAACAGAGCAGTTCCCCAAACAGGATCACTATATGATTCAGAAATTCCACTTCTGGGCATATACTCCCCCCCAAAAAAATCAAAAGCAAGGTCTTACAGAGATATCTAGACACCCATGTTCATAGCAACATTAGCCCCAAGAGCCAAGGGTGGAACCAACCCAAGTGTCCACCAGCAGATGAACAGATGAACAAGATGTGGTATGTCCATACAATGCATTCAGCCTTTAAAAGAAAGGAAATTCGGACACATGGTATAGTATGGACAAACCTTGAGGATATTGTAAGAGAGATAAACCCATCCCCCCAAGACAAACACCGTGCAATTCCACTTATACAAGCTATCTGTAGCGGTCAGATTCAGAGACAGAAAGTGGAATGGTGCCTGCCAGGGCTAGAAGGCTCAGGGAATGAGGGGTGGTTGTTTAATGGGCTCGGAGTTTCCGTTTTGCAAGATAAAGTTCTGGAGCCGAGTGACACCACAATGTGAGTTCACTTAATGCCACTGAATTGGACGCTTAAAAATGGCTACGGTGGTAAATTTTGTTGTATACTTTACCACCATTGAAAGATCTTTTTTTTTTTTTTTTTTTTTTGAGTCAGGGTCTCACTCTGCCACCCAGGCTGGAGTGCAGTGGCACAATCATGGCTCACTGATGATGCCTTGACTTCCTTGGGATGCTGAGGTGGAAGAGTCATGGCTCACTGATGATCCCAGTTCCTTGGGATGCTGAGGCAATTCTTCCACCTCAGCATCCCAAGGAACTTGGATGGCAGGCATGCCACCATACCTGGCAGTTGATAGATAGATAGATAGATAGATAGATGGATGGATGGATGGATGGATGGATGGATGGATGGATGGATGGATGGATAGATAGATAGATAGATAGATAGATAGATAGATAGATAGATAGATAGATAGATGGATACAAGGTTTTGCTATGTTGCCCAGGCTGGTCTCAGACTCCTGGGCTCAAGAAATCCTCAGCCTCCCAAAGTGCTGAGATTAGAGATGTGAGCCACCACGCCCAGCCTTGAAAGTCGATTGAAACAACACATCAACATAAGCATTCCTTCCTTTGCTGCCCTGCCCCTAGAAACTTAGAAAGTGACCGCTGGCAAGGATTTTGAGATCTCGTTGCATTTTATGCATTAAAATCCCTGAGGCCACCGAGGCTACCATCAGCAAGGTGACTTGTGACAGTTCCCAGAGGTCAAGCAAATAGGATGAGCCAGTCTGGTTACCAACTCCTAGGCGGAGCTCTATCCTGGACCCCAAGTCCAGTGGCCACAGCCCATTTCCCGAGGGGGAGGGTATATGTGTCCCCTATCCATTGAGGGCTCCTTCTCCCACACACCCTTCTGTGAGGCAGGCAAGCCCATGAGGAAATGCAACTCCGGTTAGAACACCCTGAACAGACCTGGAGGAGAAACAGGGAAATGAGCAGCTTAAATGCTGACAGGGTAAACTCTTCCTGTGTGTCCCCCCATTGAGTGACTTTGAAATTTTTCACAACAGGCGTCATGAAAGGAGGATCTAATCATCCCTTCAAGTTATTCTACATTGTGAGTAACGGACGCTAGTTTCTTTCTGTCTACAGTGATATCACAGTACAAGGCATACACAGGAAAGATTCATTTAATTTTACTTTGGTGATTAGGCAAAGACACCCACATGGCTTAATCAAAGCTAACAAATAACTTGACTGGCAGTTAATTGGCTAATTTTATTAACAGAAAGATATGCCTGCTTCAACTGAGTTACAAGAAAAAAACCTTAGACAAATTAAATCGAACAGAGTTTCGCCGAGCAAGGAACGATCCATGAGCCAGGCAGCCCCCAGAATGGCAGCAGATGCAGCCAGGCCACGCGCAGCCATGTGGTCAAAGAGGATTTATGGACAGTGAAAGGAAGCGGGGGACAGAAACAGCCAGGTTGGCCACAGCTCACAGCAGCCTTATTTGGGCACGTTTTGAACCATCACCCCCCGTGATTGGTTCAAAGTATGGCTGCTGGGATTGGCTGAGACTCAGCCACTTGTGACGAGAGCAGGTGACACATCCTGTTGGGTGACACTTCACCAAGCGTGAAGGATCCTCTAGGTCAAACTTAAAACATGTCAGGCGGCAGCCTGAGGCTGAACAAAATTTAACAACAGCAACAAAATGTCCGGACTGGCACTTTGCTTGGACTGGGACCTTTGAAACTAAGGCCAAGGTGCTGATTAGAAAGAGTCACCATGACAGCATTGGCCTCTTCTGCAGCACATGGCGACGGGAAAGAGGTCCGCTCAGATCTGCGAATGAACTCCCAGGGCTCTGCCTACTGGGTCTCGATGGCTTATTCTGGAAGGTGCTCGTGTACCAGAACATTTCTCAGGGTCCATGATGGCTCGCCGTGCGCTGCATGTGAGGTAGTTCTCTGGGCATTTTGCAGACATTATCTTGTGTGCCTGACCCAGGAGTCAGTGCCCCAGATCTGGAACCAAGTCACATTCCTACCATAAAAGCGCTCCCAACCTATGCCCCCAGTCTCAAGTCAGTCTGCAATGCTGCCCCAGATTTTAGCTCTTTAGATCCAGAGGAATGTTTTCTGCGTCCGCGGGTTGTTTAGGGTTCAACTGGTTGCTCAGCGTTAAAAAGGAGTATCTCAGGCCCCCTGCAATGCTGAAAGGAGAGGGGAGAGTGAAAATAAGTGGGAATATTTCACAGGCATCATCACCCCCTGTCACATGGCTGACATCTTTATCAATACCGTCTGCTTAATTGGAGGGGGTTATTCAGATCTGTTTTTCTCCTCAAGTTTGTGGATTACTTGATGAGACTATCCCCTCTTACTTACAAAGCTTCAAGGCAGAAAAAGAGTGACCGAACCGAATATGGAACCTTGGGAAACAGAATAAGCGCTTGGTTTTTACTGAATAAGCTATATACCATTATCCTTAAATAGCATCTCATAGCTGGGACTCCAAAATGCCTCTCAAAACTATACAAGTTGGCCGGATGTGGTGACTCATGCCTGTAATCCCAGTACTTTCGGAGGCTGAGGCGGGAGGATTGCTTGCGCCCAGGAGTTTGAGACCTGCCTAGGCAACATAACATGAACCTCATCTCTACAAAAAAGATTTTGAAATGAGCCGGGCATGGTGGCGTGCAACTGTCGTCTCAGCTACTCGGGAGGCTGAGGCAGGAGGACTGCCTGAGCCCAGGAGGCCAAGGCTGCGGTGAGCCATGATTGTGCCACTGCACTCCAGTCTGAACAGCAGAGACCCCAGCTCAAAAAAAAAGAAAAAAGAAAAGGGAAAAAAAAGCCTATCTGACCCATGTTCACAGCAACCTCAGGCATTGAGCACAAGTTTAACAAGCCCACTTCCCAGGAGGAAGACAGATAACTCAGGTGACCATCCTGAGAGGAAGACAGGCGGATTCAGTGCAACTCTCAGCCCCGTGAACCTTCATTGCACGTCTCCCTAGAGGGCCGCCCGAGGAAACACGTCACAAAAATAGATGAACTTGGTGACTGAAGGCAAATTATTTTGGAAATCACAATGCAAAACACCTCCTGGTATAAAATACAGCCTTTCTCTTTGCTCTTTTGCTTACTGCATATTATTCAGACTGTTTAAAATGCTTATTTTACTAAAATGAGCTCATTTAAAAAGCACACTCACCAAATATTTAACCCCACAAAGTTTAACATGGAGAAAATGTAGTCTCCACCAACTAACATTCCAATGTAGGCGATCGATACATTCTGCAGGAAAAGAGAGAGGACTGATCACCTGAAAAGGAAAGCATTCAGTGGGAAATACATGTAGATGGTAACACTTGAAACCACGCATTTTAGTTGCTTTGCATGGAGACTTACACCCAGATGTTCACAGTGTTGAAAAAAAGAATAAAAAGCCATTGCAGGTCAGGTGTGGTGGCTCATGCTTGTAATCCCAGCACTTTGGGAGGTCGAGGCGGGAGGATCGCTTGATCCCAGGATTTTGAGACCACCCTGGGCAACATAGTGAGTCCCTGTATCTACAATACATATATGTTAGCTGGGCAGGGAGGCGTGCACCCGTAGTCCTAACTACTCAAGAAGCTGAGGCAGAAGATCGCCTGAGCCCAGGAGATTGAGGCGGCAGTGAGCCAGGATCACACCACTGCCCTCCAGTCTGGGTGACAGGGTGAGAACCCCAACTCCAAAAAAAAAGCCATCTCCTATGGCTCTACACAGAAATGAAGTAAACTGTGATATGATAGCAACAGGAAAATGCACTGTGCACCCTCCGCCCCCTTCTCCAGTTGGTCCACAGGCAAAGACAGAAGAGCTGTGTTGTGGTCAGCCTGGCAAATCCCATCTCATCACCATCCCTGGGTGGTGAATTTTAGCCATATTGACCCTGAACTTGAATAGAGGCAGAGACTAGTGAATTCCTGTGCATTCTAGGAGACCTCCGGGCAGCCAACAGACAGGTGAACTGCGGGAGCAGGCAGTTTTTTTCACTCTAGGACTTCATGTGAACAGAAAACAATGCAAGTGTACATCCGAATTTTGAACTCCTCCAGCCCCTATTCATTCGTGTGTGTGTGTGTGTGTTTCTGCAGATTCAAATGCACACACACACCCCACATCCAATCCACAAATCCATCACCTTATAATGGAGCATATACCCAGATGGAAAATAGTTCTTCACAAGGGTTTCATTTTTTTTTTTTTTTTTTGAGTTAGAGTCTTACTCTGTCACCCAGGCTGGAGGGCAGTGGCACGCTCACAGCCACCCCAGCATCGACCTGCTGGGCTCAGGCAATCCTTCCACCTCAACCTGGGTTTCATTTCTTATTGGAAGGTTCTCCCAGAAAACCCAATCCATAGATCACAAGATATCTTGGTGACCATAGATATCGGGATTTGAGCCGGGCTCGGTGGCTCAGCCTGCAATCCCGCGCCTTTGGGAGGCTGAGGTGAGTAGATTGCCTGAGCCCGCGGGTTCGAGACCCACCTAGATAGCGAGACCTCATCTCTACAATGAATCAAAAAATCAGCCGGGCGTGGTAGCGCGCGCCTGTAATTCCGGCTACTTGGAAGGCTGAGGCGGAAGGATCGCCGGAGCCCAGCAGGTCGAGGCTGCGGTGGCCAGGAGCGGCCGCTGCACTCCAGTCTGGGCGACAGTGAGACTCCAACTCAAAAAAAAAAAAAAAAGATATCGGGATTTGTTTTTCAGCTTTTTACTTTATTTTCCCAGAGGTCGTCCTCCCAGCCTTCCTCAACTTAAAGACTTAAGTCAGAGTCTCACTCTGTCACCCATGCTGGAGGGCAGTGGCGAGATCACAGCTCACTATACACAGCCTTGACTTCCTGGGCTCAGGTGATCCTTTCACTTCAGGCTCCAGAGTATTTGGGACTACAGGTGCACACCACCACACTCAGCTCATAATAATCAGTGATAACAATAAGTTATTGTTATCACTGATTATTAGTATTTGTAGAGACAATGTCTTTCACCATGTGGCCCAGGCTGGTCTCAAACTCCTAGGCTCAAAAGCAATCCTCCTGCCTCAGCCTCCCAAAATGCTGGGATTACAGGCGTGAGCCACCACGTCCTGCCTGTCTGTCCTTTTTAGATTAGCAAGCTGTCCGACTGTTCTAGGCAACAGGAGATTAGCAACAAGAAGGGATCACCCAGGTCAGCTGCCAACGTCACTGTTCCCATTCCTGCTACACCACCACCAACAACAATAAATCAAACTTGGCTTCTGTCAGGAAGTTTGGGTTTGAGGTCCCTTCCCAACCCTGTGGCTCCTTCCACTCACCTTGATGGCTCCCACCACCGCGGTCGTCAGGGCCGAGTTGTAGTAGCTGCACAGCACCGTGGAGTACATCAGCAGGAACCTGAGGAGGAAGCAAACGCCTGAGGGACGGCACGGGCCAAGGAGATGGCGAGTGACCCAGGCACAAGGACTTTAAGCAAATAAGAAAGAAAGCCGACCACAAAGGTTTTACAACTCACGCCTTAAGACAACTTGTTCCTGCCCGGCATGGTGGCTCACGCCTGTAATCCCAGCACTTTTGGGAGGCTGAGATGGGAGGATTGCTTTAGGTCAGGAATCCGAGACCAACCTAAGCCACATCGCAAGACCTCATCTCTACAAAAGATCAAAAGCTCAGCCAGGCGGGGTGGCACGTGCCTGTAGTCCCAGCTACTCAGGAGGCTGAGTCGGAAGGATTGCCTGAGCCTGCCGGTCGAGGTTGTGGGATGCCGTGATTATCGTACCACAGCCCTGCAGCCCAGAGTGAGACCCTGACTCAAAAACTAAATTAATTAATGAAAAGACAGTTCGCTCCTGCTACAGGAACATGGCCGCGCCATGCATGCACCAAAGCTCCCGCCCGAGGCTCCTTCTTGTTCTCTCTGTGCATTTCCCATGAAATTCAGGTAAGGAGATGAGGCTTTTTGGATGACGTGAAACCTTTCATTTCACAGCCCAGTTACAACTGCGGTTTTAATCCTCTCTGTGCTGCAACGTCCAGGCTCACTGGTGCCCAGCAGAGGTTCCCATGCACTTGGCCTGAGGAAGGCCAAGCCATGGGCGATGTCAAAGCTTCATAGGTCGGTGGAGGCTGCAGGGAGCCATGATCGTGCACTCCAGCCTAGGCGGCAGAGTGAGACTCCAACTCAAAAAATAAAAATTTTAAAAAAAAGAAGCAAAACACTCCACAGAGCCAGGCACAGTGGCTCACATCTGTACCCAGCAAGAGGACTGCCTGAGCCCAGGAGTTCATGACCAGCCTGGGCAACATAGGGAGACCTTGTTGCTACAAAAAAAATAAAAAAAATTAAAAAGTTAGCAAGGTATGGTAGCACATGCCTAGAGTCCCAGCTGAAGCAGGAGGATCACCTGAGCCCAGCAGGTTGAGGCTGCAATGAGCCATGATGGTGCCCAGACCACGCCAGCCTAGGTGCCAGAGATGCCAACTCAACAAAATAAAAAATAAATAATTTTTAAAAAGTTGTTCAAAAATAACTGGCAACCAATTCCTGATCAAAACCCCAAGAGCCCATGCCATAATAGATAAGATAAACAAGTGGGGCCTCATCAAATTGAAAAGCTTCTGCAAAGCCAAAGAAATGATCAAGAGAGAGGGGAGATAGCCCACAGATTGGGAAAAAGTATTTACCAACTGCATATCTGACAAAGGCCTAACATCTAGGATGTACAAGGAACTCAAACATACCGAAAATAAAAAAGCAAGCAGTCCTATTAAAAAGTGGGCAAAAAATATAAATAGACACTTCTCAAAAGAAGATATACAAGCAGCCAAACGACACATGAAAAAATGCTCAGCCTCACTAATCATCAAAGAAATGCAAATTAAAGCTATACTGAGATGCCACACAACTCCAGTCAGGATGGCCATCATCAATCACTCAAAAAACAACAGATGCTGAAGAGGATGCAGGGAAAAGGGAATGCTTCTACACTGTTGGTGGGAGTGTAAACTAGTACAGCCTCTGTGGAAAACAGTGTGGTGATTTCTAAAAATTGACCTCCCATATGACCCAGTAGTCCCCTTTCTAGGAATATACCTGGAGGAACTCAAATTATTCTATAAAAAAAATATACTTGCACACATATGTTTATTTCAGCACTATTCACAATAGCAGAAACATGGAGCCAACCCCGGTGCCTGTTGAAAGTAGATTGGATTAAAAAAATGTGGTACATATACACCATAGAATATTATGCAGCCATAAAGAAGAACAAAATTATGAACTTCGCAGCAACTTGGATGGAGTTAGAGTTTGCACTACTCAGTGATCTATCACAGAAACAGAAACAAAGAACTGAGTACCAAATGTTCTCACTCATAAGCAGACCCTGAACAATGATCATAACACTATAAGAAAGGGACTGGCAGTAGTGGGAAACTGCCAGGGGAAGGAGGGGGGCATATACTTCATCAATAAGGGTACCTGATCTCAAACCAGGTGCCTGAGGAACCAAAGTAAGGACCACACTTCACCTGTAAAATTGACCATTTGTATACCTAACCCTGAATTGTATACACCCCACATCTTCAAAATAATTTTTTTTTAAGTTGTCCAAAAATAAACAAATAAATAAACTTTCCCCACAAAAAGCTCCATGGGTGATTGTAATGTGCAGCCAAGGTCGTGGACCTCTCAACCCCTCAGCCATTCGGAGGAAAAGCCAGCTGAAAAGTTGCTGGCTCCGGACAGAGATTGAAATTCATGCATCCCACATGTCAAGAATACCCCTGTTGCCCACAACCAATGTGAACTCAGGCATTTAACATCAATGGTTAAGTATTGACTCTTGCCGGGAGTGATAGCTCACACCCATAATTCCAACACTTTAGGAGGCAGAGACAAGAGGATTGCCTGGGTCCAAGAGTTTGAGACCAGCCTGGGCAATTTGGCAAGACCTCATCTCACAATAAGCCAAAAAATTAGCTGGGCATGGTGCCACACGCCTATAGTTGCAGCTACTTGGAAGACTGAGGCTGAAGGATCACCTGAGCCCAGCAAGTTGAGGCTGTGGTGACTGAGAGCATGCCACTGCAATCCAGCCTGGGCAACACAGTGAGACTCCGACTCAACAACAAAAAAAAAAAGGTATTGACTCTTACTTACTAACAAAATGACTTCAGAATTGTGATCAAGCACAAATAAGAAAACATATAAACACACAGGAAAAGAATATAGAATCCAGTCGGAGATAAAGAGATGCATTCATTTCAATCACGTGGTGAGGGAAACACTACACCAAGTGAATGCAAAATTCCATCTGCCCAAATCAGGTGGTGAAACGTTGAAAGAGATTACAACCAAAACTGGCTGGAGAAGGAAACTCGAAAGGTACAGAGACAGCACAAGATGTGTAGGACTTTAAAGACAAACTCCAGGTGGAAGGCGGGAGTCTGGATTCCCCATTGACAGAGCAAATCGAACTGACTCTGAGCTAAAAGAGCTCGGTGTCCAGGGGCCAAGGTGAACTCATCCTGCCAGAATGTAACACTCGTCTCAGGTCCAAGGCGCAGATCTCTGGTGGCGACAGCAGAATCAGAATCACAAACCTTCACCGCTGTAACCTCTATTGGTCTGAGTATGTTTATTACCAAAGATGGCAGAGGGGGAAAAAATAGAGATAAAACACATCAAGGTGGATGTCAAGTTGAAGAAGAACCTTCATTACAAACTTAAATTTTGTCATCTTCAGATTGGCGTGTGCGAATTATTAAGGTAATTAAAACAATTTGGCAAGCTAAGGAAACTTTGTGGTTTTAATTTGAAATGTGTTTTGATATTAGAGTTGCAATTTTAATTGAACAGAAGAGAGCCTAAGTGTGTCCACCGTATTTGAATGTTTTTTTAAAGGCTGACTGACCACATTTCCAAATTTGGGTTATTAGATTTCCAAGAGTTGCTAAAGTGCATAAAGCAACCTAGTTTTGCTATTCAGCCTCAGGGGCTGGAATTGCTAAAGAAAAGGAAGGCATTTCCCATTCATAAATGCGGTTTAAAATATTGACAATGTTTTAATTCACTAAGTTGTAAATGGAACTAATTTACAGTAAATTGTTAAGGAGATTTTAATCAGTTAAACTCAAGTTAATAAGCACTAATCAATAATGAAAGTAAATGTTCTTAATTTTATAGAAAAATTAATAGCTTTATAAATAGAGCAATAAATAGTACTTATAAGTTGAACTTTAAAGCTTAAGAAAACCTAAGTTTTTACGACTGTTACAGTTTTAATAAATTCGACATTAGAGAGCCCCAGGAACTATGACTAATTCGATTCATGCATAAAACAACAAAGTTTGCAAACCCAGCCTGCTGTCACTGCCTGTCCGCTCCGCCTGGCCTGGGCAGTCAAAGGACATCTCCACAGCCCGAGCCCTGGAGGGGCTCCCCGTCTAATAAAACGAGGGAGACACAGCACAGGGGACCGGGGCAAGGGTCCCAGCCACTTGGGCACAGAGCACCTTCCTGCAGCCTTCCTACACTTGACTGCAGCCAAAACCAAGGGCAGTCACAGACGTTCTTTATTTTCACTTTTGCTTAAAATCCCAATTCAAGGGTTCCAATCATGCAACATTTTTTCCATCATATATATACATATGTATACTCATACATATATATATTCATATGTATATATATGACATACATTTATATGTACAGTATGTAAATACACATTTTTTTAAGAGGCAGGGTCTCCCTATGTTGCCAGGCTGGACTCCAACTTCTAGGCTCAAGGGATCCTCCTGGTTCAGTCTCCTGAGTAGTTGGGACCACAGACGCAAACCACCACACCAGCCTCCAGCCTCCGTCTTAATGAAATCCCCTCGGCCTGGATTCAGAATCGGCAGCCCCTAGTATCCACCTGCCATGAGTGTGAGTGACCAGGACACTCGCTCACCAGCTGGGCTGAGCAGAGGAGCAGAATCCCTCCCTGGCACTCCCGAGGGAGCCTTGAGTGCCCAGCCAGGGCAGCAGCCAGACAGAAAGGTCGTACTTCTTAAGATGCCCACCAGAGGGCCCCAGAGAGCGGGCATAGACACCCACTCGGCTCCAAGACTTTGCACCTCCATTATCTCAGAACGAGGGAAACCACACCGCTTTTAACACCAAAAATCAGTCCTCGTGACCCACTTTTAGTATCTGTAGATGAATAAAGTGCAAAGATATTTTAAAGTATTGCTGGATTCTTAGTAACTTTTATCCATTCTATTTTTTTTGTTTTTGGGGGGGGGGTCTCATTCTATTACCCAGGCTGAGTACAGTGACACAATCACGGCTCGCCACGGCCTCGACACACCGTGACACCTGACTATTTATTTTATTTTCTTTAGAGACAAGGTCTCAC